TGTTGGTGGAGGATTATTACACATCAAGTGTCACGTTGTAGCCACGTGGGGACATTAAAATTAAGAGCCATTGGGTTTCGATTTGGAGTATGAATTATTGGGCCAACCTATTGTCTGGTTCGGCTTTTCTGTAAAATTGATTGGAGCTTTGGGTTACACTCACTCTTCTTGGGCCCAAAGACATACCAATACCCTAACAAGATGCAGCAATTGCCACACAAGCCATTCCTTCAGACCGAAAAAGAAAAATATCAGGGTCTTGTTTGTTTAATGTTTTGAAAAGTAATTTTCCGTTTTCTAAAATTTTTAACCTTACTCCAGTGACCCGTTTTCTAAAATTGCTTTCAAAATCATCATTACTCCCTTACTATTTTTAAAAGCAGATGAATGAAAACAACTCAGACTTTGTTTCGTTCTCTCTTTCTCTTTCTCTTTCCTATTTCTAAACAAATGAAAAACAAAGAAAATATATTAAGTAAATCATTTTATATTTAATTTTAAACAAAATCATCTAATTACATTGTTAGATTATCAATATTGTAAAAAAGTAGAAGGATAAATTAACAACGACATTAAAATTTCCCATTTTAAAACGTGTGGATGAAAAGTTAGGTAATTAAAGTAGCGAATATAACTTTTTTAAAATATAGCGAGAAAATGTTAGTTTAAATCATTAGAATTAAAGTCGCTCATGCATTACCTGAACTAGTGGAAAAGAAAAATGTAATCAAGCTTATTATTATTTTTACTATTATACTTATGATTATGTCTATATCATTATATCAATGGTTTTTTTCAATTTTTTTTATCGCTTATAAAAAGAGTAAAAAAATTATTTTTATAAATATAATAATATAAAAATGGCTGTCATCAATAAATTCTAATAGTTTTTTATAATGAATTTTGTTATGAGCTTCTCTTTGATAAGATTAGATTTAAGAAAATTTCCATATTTTATCTCCATCAATTTATTATTTTAACATTTTAAAATTTAAATAAATTTAAAAATAATATTATACAATAAAAATAAATATTTTTTAATATTTGTAAGTATAAATTTTACTTTATAACATATTTTATGGTATTTTTAAATACTTTTTACAGCCAAATTTAATTATATAAAATAATAATTTATTATGGTACAGAAGTTAAAGTCAAAATACTTGCAAGCTTTAATAAACTTTTAATCTTTATTTTTATGTTAAATTACATATTTAGTTTTTCATAATTAATAACTTTTAGTTAATTGATATATATATATATATATATATATATATATTATTCAATTGCTAAAAAATATACTAATTGTTATTAATAATTAATATTAAACCTTGTTTTGACACTATTATGATAAACGAACCTATCATCATTCTTTATTAATAATTGGAGTGACCAGAATTAGTTGATTTAAAAATTAAAGAAACAAATATATACTTCAATTTGTGAAAAGTGGATTTAAGGCCTACTCACATGCTTTTTTATTATTATTTTTTTACATATTATCTTCTCCACCAAATGGCCCACGATCCAGTGGTTTTCAAAATCAGCATTATATCCTTTAAATTGGTTTTCTAATAACACAAAAATTTCTTCATGGGCCGAAGGTATCCCACGTCTAGCCCAATTCAGCATCTCAAGCTCCATCCACGGCACATTCTTCTTGGGTTAATTGGATTGGTGACCCACCAGAGGAAATAAAGGAGCCTGCATTGCACACACTCAATTTGGGTTATGAGGGGCATTTGTGTCGGCCCATGGGAAATTGAGAAAAAAAGAAGAAAACCCACCCTCACACCACCAAGCAACCCAATAAGAGAAAAAGGATGGAGTCTAGATAAACAATGGCCCGTTCAAAAAGAAATTCACAATGATAAGAAGGCCCAAAAATGATAGAAATGCAAACAAATATTTAATGATCAGAGAAAACTTGAAAAAGATGATGCAGTCGGTTGTTGTTTCCTGGTAAGACGGGACTTCAGAATGTGAACAAGATTTATATAGTTTGAGAAAAAGAAAGATAAAAAAAGGAACAGCCTTTATTTTAGTTTCGTGTTTTTCCTGGTTTTCAATGTGCAATTCTTGCAGACCCTATGTAAGTGCATTAATCTGTGTGAGTACAGAAAACAGGGAGATTAATTCATGTCACGCAAGCCACACTGCCAAATGTTAATGAAGTGGAAAGCAACAGATGATTAAAAGCAAGTGGAGTTTCCTTGTGAAGGTAGAAAATGGAAGCCTACGCTACTGAGGGCATGAGATGAGATGAGTGAGAATGATGAAATTCCATTAATTAGGTAGGAGCAACTGGCCCAAAATATCCTCTGCAATTTTCAGAGCTTAAAAAAAAAAAAAAACCAATAACATGGGTGGGGCTAGGGCCCCAGCTCCATCATCACATTCATGCCAATCTCGGAGAACCCATTAATGAACCGAATGAAAGCATATTTGACTTTCACCCCAAAACACCAAAGCACACTTGACCATTCTCACTTTCGGTGTAGGTAACTTGAATATCTATTATTTTATGCATCGCAAATCCAGAGCTCAACGGTATCATCTCCATGATTTCTTATAGAATAGACGAGTTTTTTTAGTTAAAGATGTTGTGTTTTTGTTTGTTCTGATTGTTTTCCTTTTTTTTAATCCCCAGTTTTTACAACAGGGGCAATTTTATCCTGTCACATTCAATTGGTTTGCTAAATTTAAATATAAAAGTGTCGCATTAATCATCACCTTTTACTAATCATAGATCATAGCAACTGTTTGATGGGTTGTGCTTGTTGAAAAATCTAGATTTTTAATTGTTAACTGTTTGATGGATCACGAATTTACTTTCACAACTCACTCCCATACATTACTTCCTTTTCGGCTGGACAATATTATTAGTCCATTCTACTATCTCTTACCGTGCAAAAGACAACATAATTATGTTTGAAACTATGATTAATAACAACGATTGAATCTTGACAATTGCAGTTAAATTGTATGCAATATTTGTAACTAACTTAGTCTTAACAAATGTTAATCAAAACGCTGTTTTGGCGTGAATTTTTCCTCCCCACATAATACACAGTGTGATCTTTAAAGACACAAGAATGTTGGGTCCGTTTGTCACAAAAGGAAGCATATGAAATGATTCATTGTATTTTGTTGTGTGCGATGACTCCACTTAGTAGTCACTTAAGGAAGGAAACAATGACTAGAGCGAGAGAGGCTAGACCCACTTAGCTTGCAGGGAAATGAAGCCAGGCCGGTAGAAGAACAGAAAAGACTGACCAAATATAAAAGAAAGAAGAAAGCAAATGAACAAGGAAAGAACCCACTAGCTATAATTATGGAAGCACTACATTCACGTTAACCCCTCTTAACTTTATGGCTGTAAATTTTAATTTTTGTTCACACTTTCTCCAACATCATCATTCATAAAGTTACGTTAAATATAATATCGGTTTATTTAACATGCAGTTTATATTGAATATTAATTACTTTTTTTATTCACATATAAAAAATAAAAAATATCATTTTTTATTTTTATAACATTTTACTTTCCTTTTTAAATTTTTTATCTTGTATTTATTATTTTTACTGTACATATTTTATAGATTTGTAAGAAAAATATATTTTGTAGAATTTTAGGAAAAATAAAATAGAAGATAATCATCAATTTTATTTTATTTTTTCTGGTTTTATCTATTTGAAACTTTCAACAATTTATTTATTTATTTTCGTTATAATGAAATAAATGAATGATTTTTTTTCTTATTATCAGATGTTTTTATTTAAATTGTCTTTTTATATATTTTTAAATATGTATATAATTATGAATAAGTGAATAAAATAGATTAATGAGTAAAAGTAAATTCATAAGGTAATAATAATGAAAAGAGAAATAAAATAAAATAAAATATAGTTAAAATTAAAATTAAATTCACGTAAAGTAATTTTATATCTGATTTGCTGAATAGTGGTAATTAAATATACGGGTTTCACGTGTTTGGTGACAAAGTACAAGACGTTTATTAACTTTCGTGTAGTCTAAAAATCAATTATCCAAATGGTGAGGTATGGGATGTAGGAGGGACAGACACATAGGCACATTGTAGATGACATAACAGGGTTGACCAGTTGACGTTGGAGTAACCAGCTAACAAGAACAGTAGAAGAAGAATATGTGAGAAGACAAATCCCAATCCCGTGGTTCCACCACCTCCACCTCCACCTCCGAAAATGTGAGAAAAACGCGGTACTCTTGTGCACATGTATTTTTAAAACAAAGAAAAAAAAAAAATTGGCACCAGCTGTTTGTGTGGGGGTTCCTATATATTTAGCACACTGGCAGACAAGTTTGCAGTTGAACGGCGCAGCGCTTCTTCATCAAACACTAGCGTGGCAGCGTGGCAGCGTCGCACCCACTAACCTACCCTACTCTCCTGCCAATTGCCAACCCATCCTCACATTCATTCATATATAAATAACGAAAATCGAGACATTGCATTGCCAATCCATGCATCACCAGGACAAGCAACCAAATTAAAGCTGCACAGCATCAGTATCACTTATGCAGCTGTTTCAAAATCTCTCTCCATTCGTCTTTACGCCCCTAATTCTATTCAATAAATGGGAACAATGATAATACAGCCAATCGGATTCGGGTAAGCGTAAAATTTTAAAACAGTTAATACTTACGGAAAAAAAGAGAGAGAAATTATAAATTACTACTATAAAATAAAATATACCCCCCGTGATCGATAAGAGACAATGATCTGAACGACCCATGAGTATGAAGATATTAGGGGTAGCCCACAATCACACCCACACACTCATACCCAACCTCACTTTTATAAACAAAAAAAAAGAAAAAAGAAAAAAAAGAGTACCTGGTACGGGTACTATTTTTTTGTTCGGGGAAGCATGAGCGATGGAGGAAGTTGAATGAAAGACAGCTTTGAATTGGAATGGGAATAGGAATATTTGAAAGTATTGTAATTTGTGATTAATGTTCAATAATCAGGCATAAGGTGGCTGATTTTGCCTTCCTCCAGCGCCATCTTGCGTTCGGTAATTTTTAACCAAATACAAACCCCGGTGAAGCTAAGTACCAAACTGGCGAGGCCACTTCCCAAGCCGATCCCAACAATGGCCAACACGGACAAACCCCTATTCCTAAGGGGCGGCAAAGGGTAACCGTACAGATCCTTATTCCCCAAGAAGGAGCTGGCGTTGAATCTGGGAAAGTTTCCGCTCCGGTTGGACAGGGAGGCGGGGATGGGCCCGGAGAGGCGGTTATCGGAGACATCGAAAGCGGAAAGGCGAACCAGCAGGCCGAATTGCTGGGGAATAGGCCCAGTAAGGAAATTACGGTGGAGGTCGATGATGTTGAGATAAGCGCACAATGCGAGTTGCAGAGGAATCTCCCCTTGGAGACGGTTGGAGGAGAGGTTCAAAACGGCGAGGTTGACGAGGGACTGAAGCTCCGGAGGGATTGGACCTGTGAGGAAGTTGGAGGAGAGGTCAAGGGCTTGGAGGTTGGTACAGTTTGAGAGAAAAGGGGATAAGGTGCCGCGGAGCGAGAGGTTGTTGAGAGAGAGCCTGTAGATGCGACCATTGTTGCAGGTGATGCCTTGGAGATCGGAGGTGGAATCGTTGCAGGGCTTGACGAAGTTCTCTTTCTTCCAGTTATGGAGCAAGTTGTTTGGGTCTTCCAAGGACTTTCTTAGGTTGGTGAGACACGCTTCGTCGCTAGGATCTGATAAAATCCCCGGAATCAAAGTGACAAACCACACTAACAACACTCTCTCCACATCCATTACCAGACAACCTCACCCCTTCGGATTCCGGTGATTCCTTACCTTATACGAGGAGAGTAATTGGGATATAGATAACAATTCATCCAAGACCAACTAATTAATGACTAGGAAAGAATGGAAGAAGAGAGAGAGTGTGTGATCTATTCAAGCCTTCCCTCTCTGCATCCAAAAGAAACAGGGGAAAGTAGGGAAAGCGAGAGATGTGGGAGTCTGTTGTTGATGTTGTGTTAGGCCAAAGTGAGTTTGAGAGAAAGAGGGGAGACTCTTTGAAAAGTGGTCTTCTTCTCTCGCTAATCACCAATCACTAATCACTACTCACTACTCGCTACTCGCTACTCGCTACTGCTACTCCTCAACCCTGTACCTGCCTGGCTAGTTGGTTTATTTTTATATATCTAATTATTATTTTACGCAGTATTTATTTATTTGTTTATTTAAGTCCTTTATGGACGTGGTACGAGTGAAGGAAGCACTTGTCATGAAATTGGGTCGGGTGAGAGAGAAGAAGAGTTTATGTGTTTGTGTGGGTCCTTTCCGATTGGAGTTTGTGGGGAGCGATGGCCTGCAAAATGTGAGGCCTAAGACAGCGACAATACGCCAAGGACATTCTTGACTTTTTCCATCACTACCTTTTTCTATTTCCACGCCACTCTCATTTCTTCTACACTACTAACTGCACTTCTTCTCTATACTTTCATCAATCAGAAACACCCTCTGCTGCTTTCTTCACCCTCTATACAATTTCATAAATCTATTTCTTTTTTATCTCCAAAGCTTCAATCCTCACCACACGCTACTTCTTCTGCTCCACCAAATACTCTGCATGTTTTGCATCAAAAAATCTTTACCTTATTTCATATATATACACATGAGATTGAGTCTGGGACCTAATAATTTGCATGATATTAATCACTACACCTGCTGATGATCGATCAAGGACATTAAACTCATCCGTAGCAATTTGTGTCTGCCATTCTGCACTTTTCCCCTCATCTATAGGGTAAAATTGGTAAAATAATACTAGCAGAGGAAATTATGCTATTTATCTCTACTGTACTTTTATATTTTTTTTTATTTGTTTAAAAAATGTTATATGAAAGAAACTATTAATACAATCTCAAAGATAGATAATGTAATACACTATTAATAATGATAATGTATTACCCCCATAAACAATTAGTATTTATTAAATAATGAAATATTGGCAACATGAAAAATTAAGAAATTAAGAGATTAAGAGATGAAGTCACATATTACATATGAAGGATTAAACATTAAAAAGAATTTGCAAATATACGAAAACAATAATCAATAAATATCGTATATCATTGATAATCATAAATTATTAATATTTTTAAAATTTTGGTTGATATTTATTTGAAATTTTAAAAAATAGCTAGAAAATATAAATAAAATTAAAAAGGTTGTAAACATGAAAGTCACGAGTAATAATTACATTAGAAAAATAGTACTACAGTAGATTGACAAATGTAAGAACTAGAAAGAAATAAGAATAACAAAAATGAATGAGCAAAAAGTTATAATTATTCACTAATTATGACAAGAGTTTTTATTAAATTTATACATTTAAATAAATTATGTATGCTTTATTTTATAATTAAGAAAAAAAGAAGAGTGTGTTGTGGGAGTGTGACTCAAAACAAGTCCTGACAAAAACTCATTAATTAGTTAGTTAGTCGTGTCAAAAACTGAAAAGAGGAACAAGGAGAGATCAATATGTTATTATATCATGTATGTGTCTACAATATAATTCTTTAATCATATCAGACATAGGGTATTGAAAATCAAACTCTACTTGTAGGAACATCTTGTTAAATACATAAGTATGTGTCCATTGGGAAGTGCATGTTGGTAATACCTAAACGAAGCGTGTAGGCTGCACCTTTGAAGCGTGGGGATAATAGCTAGATTTTGTTTGTTTTGCACCCTCATCAGAGATTGCGGATTGGGCATTGGTCCAAATAATAATAATTCTTATAATTGATTAATTGATGTTGAAGAAAGGATAAAGGGTCTTGTGAAATACGTGTCTCATTAAAGAATGGATACTATTTTTCTTAAAATTTATGATAAAAGAAATACATCTAAAAGAACCATAGAGTATATTAACAAGTTGTAATAATATATTTTTAAAAAACTTAACTCGTTCATTGATGGATCAAAATACTAGTACTAAAAACTCGCGTGCAAAAAAGTAACGGTGGTGGAATTTGTCCCAATCAAAACAAGACCATAATCAGCGTCAAAATCGATATGCATTGCAGCACATTCCTTATTTTTCGTATGGTCAAGAAGTCAAAGGCATTAATTTATTTTGACATGAAATTCGTTCCAAAATTAATAATCCCTTCCACTTTTCTCCTTTCACAGTTCAGGGGATCAATATTCAAATCGTTGCATTGCATTGATCTGAGGGTGAAGCAGTATTATAATACAACATGGTTCACTGAGTGTTAAAAGTCCCAAAAGACGTGCAATTTAACTTTGTTACGCTACTTACGCAAGCCCTTTTCACTCTCTCAAGTCTCTTTCGGCGGAGCATTTAACCCTCAAAATCCAATTCAAGATTTCAAGCTTTTTTTCTTGGCATAATAAAATGTTTAGTACTAATTCTTTTATTTTGTTTGGGTCATAAGGCTTAAGATGTATTTGGGCTTTAATCATTAGGCTAGGTGGGCCCAATATCCCATCCTGTTGGGCCCATCTTTGCCTCTGCCGGGGGTAACAAGGGGCCTAAATGAGTTTAGTATGTAGACACAACAACATACTCTTGGGGACAGCAGCTATGGTTGGAACTGTAAAGCACAGTTGTTTGAGGGAAGGTGAAGGGGCCCACGAGACTCGTGTGGTAAGAAATACGGGCCTTGAGTTGAATGCTGAAAATGAGGCCCTGTAATGTCATGGGTCTCGCACCTCCCTAGCCCAATATGGCCCCACAAGAATAGAACAAGAGTAATCTTATTCTTGGCTTTGAATTTGATGGATAGCATCTTGGTTTTGGTTTATGCCATAATGCAAGACAATCGGATATTTTTGACTTTGTCTGTCACACTGCTGGACGTGACCTATGTATAACTAACGTGAAACAGTATATAAATCAAATCTTAATTCTCTGTTCTTGTTTGGTAGGTAGATGAGCATGATATTGATTTTTCCTTATTTTATTTTTTTAAGGAACAAACATAAACCTGTAGTGCCACTTTCCTGATTTTTCTTATAATTTTATCACGAGATAAATAATTACTTTTATAGAATTATAATTTATAATCAAAATATTTTAATATATGAATTGTATTATTGTTAAAATTTAAACAAATAAACATCTTTAAATATTATATTTTAAATTTATTATAAATAATTTAAATAAATTATTTTAACTCATATTAGCATGTAATCAAGGTGTAACTGATAAGAATGATTAATAAGTAGGTATACATCGATAACCATGAATATACATTAACCCCATAATTTAGTTTGTATTCAAACAACCTTGGAGCACATGTCCCTTTCATTTGTAATAAACATGTTTTAATATAATGATATATTAGAAGGCTATTTTTATTTTTATCTTTCTTTTCATCAGCCATCACATCCATTATAGTATGTGGCACTTATTCTTTTATTTTTTTTATTCTAAAAAGAATTGTACAAACTGATATCACAAACCCAACTTTTCTTTATAATCTCCAAAAGCATATTCCTTCAATCTTTTAAATTGTCTACTATTGATTGTTATAAATAACTAAAAAAAGAGATGTTAGGGATGTTTTCTTCACATTATTATATTGAACATAATATATAAAAGATTTCATAGGACCTAATAAGAGAAAAATGAGGTGTGCATGTGGCGACAACAAAAATAGCCTTTCCATGTAGGGTGTAGCAACTATACATGTAGCAATGGAATAGGGATGAAAGGGAAGACAAAGTCACATTCTGTTTGTTTATGGTGTAAAGATTTGAGAATGAAAATAGTACCTCTTGATTCCTGAATAAGACTTTGGTGGCATAATGTTGGACAAACCCTTTTCTTTTTGGCCTGAATTGGATATTCAATTGAAGATGAGGCACATAATAACCTTTTCCCCTTCTCATTAAAGCCATACACTACGGGAGAATGTCCATCCACCCTAATCATGGTCACCAATATACTCCCATTAAATGTCACTACTCAGCAGTGTTCATTGACATGCACAACCAAATATTTCTTCCATGGTGAGGATGCATGCATGAGTAGGATTGGACAAGAGCTTTAGGATAACTTTTTTTTTTTTTTAATATTACAAATTAATTTGAAAACTTATCATACAATACGTTATTATTATTATTTTTAAATAGTTGGGTACGATTATATATGTTTTCTGATTGTTTTATTAATGAGATTAGTTTATGGTCACCAGAAAAATAAATTTCAACTTTACCATTTATATCAAAACATTATAATTCTGATCATATATAATATAACATTAATTCATTTTGTTTAAATTATCACGCCTTTTATTCATAACTTGATAGTGTGCAAGACTATCTATTGAAAGTATTAATCCCAGATTACTATAAATTGGCAGAGAAAAAAATGAAATTGGAAAAGGTGAAGTGCATCTAGCTAGGTATACGTAAGTTCATGCACTAGGGTTCTCCAAAGGTGCCTCAATTTGTAAATATCCAAAGGTTTTTCTTATAATTGTAATCATTTTCCATAGGCTATTCTCTTAATTTTTTTGCTCATAGTTAATTTTGTTTAAAACTAGTTACCATAAATTTTAACTGACTACAATAAATTTTTAAAGAAAGAAGGTTTTAAAGAATATAAAAGAAAACTTTTTTTTTAAGTAAAAGGGTCTAAAAAACTTTATAAATGGATAAAAAAACTAGTTGAGTGTTAATTATGTTTTTTATTAATATAATTTTTGGTCAATAAAAATAAAAATATTACTAATATAACACTTCTGTTAGTCTATCGAGTAGAAATCATGTCA